TGGAGTTACAGAGAAACAAATGAGTTGCAGGGAAAAAATCTACCTCTGCTTCATTCACTATGTTAAAGCCTTTGACTGTGTGGATCACAACAAAATGTGACAAGTCCTCAAAGAGATGGGAGTGCCAGATCATCTTACTTTTCTCCTGAGGAACATGTATTTGGGTTAAGCAGTAGCAATTAGAACTGAACATGGAACAACTAACTGGTTTAAGACTGGGAAAAGGGTATGACAAGGATGTACATAGTCACCTTATTTATTTAATTTATGTGTGGAGTGTATCATCTGAAATGCTAGGCTGGCATGATCAAAAGCTAGAATTAAGGTTGCCAGGAGAAATATCAACAATATCAGATATACAGATGATATCACTCTGATGGCAGAAAGTAAAGAAGAATTAAGAAGCTTCTTGATGAGGGTGAAAGAGGAGAGTGTAAAATCTGACTTGAAGCTTAACATTAAAAACACCCCAAAATCATTGCAACTGGTTTCATCACTTCCTGGCAAATAGAGGCAGAAGAAATGGAAGTGGTGCCAGATTTTATATTCTTGGGCTGAAAGATCACTGTAGACAGCAACTGCAGCCATGAAATTAAAATGCGCTTGCTTCTTGGAGAGAAAGCTTCAGCAAATCTGAACAGTGCACTAAAAAGCTGAGATATCATCTTGCTAACAAAGGTTTGTATAGTCAAAGTTATTGTTTTTCTAGTAGTAATTTATAGCTGAGAGTTGGACAATATGGAAAGCTGAGTGCCACAGAATCAATGCTCTCAAATTGTGCTGCTAGAGAAGACTTTTGAGAGTCCCTTGGACAGCAAGGATATCAAATCAGTTAATACTTAAAGAAATTAATTCAGATTATTCATTGGAAGGACAAATGCTGAAGCTGAAGCTTAAATGCTTGGGCCACATAATGAGAAGACAGAACTCATTGGAAAAGATCCTGATATTGGGAAAGATAGAAGTAAAAAGGAGAAGGATATGGCAAAGAATGAAATAGATAGATAGTGTCATGAAAGCAACAAACATGAGCTTGAAATGACTTTGGGAGACAGTGGAGTATAGAAGGGCCTGGCGTGCTATGGTCCATGGGGTCATGAAGAGTCACACATAACTGAATGAATGAACAACAACAAATAAGTGGAATGGGCTGCCTTGGGAGGTAGCGTCTCATTGGAGGTCTAACAAAAGTTAGATGGACATTTATCTAGTTTGTTACATGCAGGATGTTTTTTCAGGGAAACACTGGATAGTTGAGCTCCCTTCCAACTCTGAAACTCTGGGATTCTGAGAAGGGATGGTGTCCATGTCAGTTAGAGTTCCTTAGCAAGCTAGTTGTACAGTATGTGGTCAGAAGTGTGTGATTTCTCAATGGACAGAGAATCTCTCATCTTCTTAAAAGTTCCTCAGAACCCAGCCCAGCCCTGATGACTTCCCAGGTGTCCTGGACTCTTGACTGAGTAGTGAATACTTTGTTGTCTGCTCCTTTCTTGGCACCCTTCTCTGTTTCAAATGATTTCTTTGAAAAATCACATCTTGAATTCTCCTAACACTGACCCTGTTTGATTCTCCACCCAAAGATCCTCTCTGTTACAGCTTGAATCCCTGGCAAAAGAACATGATTCAGGTCCTCCTGACTCCAGGGCCGGTGCTCTATCCATGCGTCACCTAGCTCCCTCCCCCCAAAAAAGGTAAAAGAACATGATTTGGATTTCTAAAAGCCCTGTACTACATTGCCGTGTCCATGATCCAGCAGGAGTATCAGAGTCAGGTGGAGCTGGATACTAGCATCTTCCTGGAGATAGACATGAGGCAATGCAAGATCTATACCTCCAAGGTCTGGGCTGCAGACAGCATGACAACGAGGAGCAGTAAGAGACAACAGAAAAGAGACCTATATTGATGAAGGACATAACAAGGTATAGGTGATATCAGCAAGGAGCTGAAAAGAAGGTACCTTCAATGAAAAGCAAAAGATAATTCCCTAAACCAAAACCAAAAGTAGAAACATGTTTTCCATGTGTTTTGACTTCTGGAAGTTTGTTCATTCCCCTTCCATTTATATGGTGAATGCTATATACAATTTGCATGCTATCTCCTCCATCAGAATGTGAACTTCTCCTGGGCAGGGACTGCTTCTGCCTTTCTTTGTATCCCCAGCACTTAGCACAATGCCAAGCACATGCTAGGTATTTAATAAATGATTGTTGATTGGCTGCTCATCCTCTAGCCCTACATAGTAAAAAAAAAAATGAAGTCTCCACGATCTCTAGGTCAGAGGATATCTAGAGATTTCCAGTGGGAAAGAATGAATGGGTTAATAAATGAATGAGTGAATGAACAATTATGAATTTATTATTTAATTCTCTCCATGAGCTTAATTATAATCTCTATTCAGATGACTCCTAGATCTATATATGCAGCCCAAGTTTTTCTCCCAAGCTCTGGTTCTATTTCAAAACCAATTAATTGGACATTTTGAACTCAGTGTGCTTTAAGCATCTCAAATTCAACATTTCTAAAACAGAAGTCATCATCTTTTCCCTAACATCTTCCCTTCTCCCAAACCTTTCCAATTTTTTAAGGGTACCATCATTTTTCCAGTTACACAGATTCATAACCTTGGAGCCATCCTTAACTCCTTACTGTCATTTACCCCACACAGCCAAATTTAGGCACTTGTATCCCTGAAACGCTTTTGAATATGTCTTCATTCACACAGCCACTCCTTTAATTTGGGCTCTCATAATCTCATAACTGAAATAGCCTCCTAATTGGTCTCCCTGCCTCAAGTTTCTATCTATTCCAACCAATCCTCCATATGGTAGCTAAAGTGATTTTCTTGAATTGTGGGTCTGATCATGTTATCTCTATACTCAACAAACTCCCCAGACTCTCTATTATATATAATATCAAATTTACCTTCTTCCGTTTGGCATTTAAACTCTTCACAATCTGATGCCATCCTATTTTTCACCTGATACTCCATCTTTTATCTCTATATCTTTGCACTAGCTATTCTTGTGCCTGTAATGCATTCTCTATTCATCTCCGCTTCATGGAATCCCTGGTTTCCTTCAAGATCCAACTTAAGTGATACCTTCTGCATGAGATCTTTCCTGGTGCCACCAGATTCTAGGACCTCCCTCCACCCCACAGGATTAACTTTTTGTCTTTTGTGTATGTATAAGAGAGACTATGTCTTTCTGAGAAAAGCAGTTGCTGAGTTGTCTGCATTGGGGCATAGGTCTGCACAGAGTTCAAAAAGATATAGTTGGAAGTTGAATCCGGCAGAGTTCTGATACATCAGTTGCTCATTTTAATGGGATGAACTGTAGAATACTGGACTGAATGAAGAACGCAGAATGCTTCAGCAAGCTGTATATGAAGAACTGAAGAATTAGATCACTTTTAGGCTAATAACAGGATATGTGGATGTAAGAATTGTTCTTTAATTATAGGACAAATATGCTTTGCCTGATCAAAGACAGCAGACAAAATTTCGATTACTAATCATAAGCTAAGGTGGGGTAATTCACAGAGAGGATCCAGACCACGAGTCCAGAAAGGTTAAAGAAGTGAAAGGACAGATTTCAAAATTGTGTTAGAAAACACAAGTCTATCTCTGTAATGGCACTAGATGCTAAGCCAATTAATTTGCCAATGAGAATCAGACTACTCTCTAAAGTTACCTGTTGCTGAAAGGAAGAAGGAAGAGATAACATACTGTGTTCTCTATTATGACTTGCTGCTGGGAAGATGGATTATAAGGAGGAGTAGAGAGAACATATTTTGCTATCTATTGTGATTTTCTGCTGAGACTAAGAGAAGTGAAGATAGAATACACTTCTCTGCATTGCTACTTGTTGCTGAGAGGAAAAAGAGAAGAATCCTGAGAATCAGAGATGAAGAGGCCTTTTCTAAATTTAGGGTAAAAGTCATTGCCTTTTCCTCAAAGAATGTAACACTGCTTTTGCTGAAGGCATCAGATAAGCCTGAATCTGGAAGTGATAGATATTACAGTGGCTATTGAGGAATAAGTATAATTGAAGAGAAGAACAGCTTGGAAGCAGAGAATCAAAGAAGTCATTCAGTGGATTGATCAGGGTGGCTGAGATGTTAGTCTGAGTGAAGTATTATTCAAGCATGGGGTAGATAAACTTTAGAAGTGGAAGCTTCTGTTAAATATAGAAGCTACATTCATCAAAGAACTCTTATGGAAAGTTCTTGAGACGAGAAGAGGGCACTAAAGTTTTCAGTTCCAGAGTTGTGTTATGTCAAACACATGGGTTTTCCTCACTCGCATGCTTCCCTGACGGGTTTGTACCTACTCTTCCATACAAGCATTAAGTATATTGATGGAAGAATGTGACCCAGGTTTATGTGCAAACTGTGATGTATTCATTATTCTTGCATTTGTGTTACATGAATAATTGTGATATTATTTTTGTTTCTTTTACTTTATTGTTAAGTGAATAGTTATAGTTACTATCTAATGGGCTATTATTGTAAATGGTTCAATTTATATACATGGAAGTACATAGGTGAGAGCATGAGATCTATGATGACTGTAGGGAATGTATTCCCTCACAAAAAGGCTACCTTAGGTGCCTGAGAGAATTTGAGCATAGCCTATAGTGGTCCTTCTCCGGGAACTCAGAATAAAGTTAGGTTGAGGTGAATGAGCCAGACAGTAGATTGAACATGGGGGTGAGATTCTATGCTAGAGGTAAACCACATCAGGTGTTTCCTACATGCATGGTATGTACTTACATATGTATGTTTTTTCCTTCATTAGAATGTAAGCTCCATGAAAGCAGGAAATTTTTTCTTTGTATCATTAGAACCTGGCCTGGAACATAGTAGGCACTTAATTAATGACTGTTGATTGATTGATTGAAAGTGGAGAAGTAAATGGTTAATTGTCCATTACTCAGCCTTGGGAGCAAGCATGAAAATAAGGGAGGGGAATGGGGCCGAGGAAATGGGCAGGCACTTACCTGGGATCAGAATTGTGTGAAGGGGCATCACCTCCACGCCATGGATAGGGTACCCAAAAGGGATATTTGGCTGGGCCACCACAGGTGGAGGGTGGGGCAGTCCTTGTCTGTAGAAGAAAAAGAAATATGAATGCAGTGTTCTGAGCTCCTCTTATCCCATTTGTTCTCACCTTCAACAAACAATTACAAAACATTTTCCATGGGCAGTGTGACTTGTGATGGTCTGTGGGAAGAGAGACAACATGAGGAAACTTTCCACCTGATGGCAGAAATGTGGTTCCTGCCTCTGGTGAGCTCCCACTGTATTAGGGGGAGACAGTACCTTCTTTTTGGAAGCATCTAATCTCATTGTAGGAAATAGGGTATACATACCAAATATAACTTGAGAACACACACACACACACACATATATTATTACAAGTATGTTTTGCTTTCCTGATTTTTTGTGTATAATAAAAGCTAGCATTAAGCATAAGTAGCTCTTTAAGGTTTGCAAAGAGCTGTATATATGTTATTTCATTTGATCCTCACAAGAGCCCTGTGCTATTATTACCCTCATTCTATGAATGAGGAAATTGAGGCAGAGAAAAGGTAAGTGACTTTCCAAGGATTACAGAGTAAGTGTCTGAGGCTGGATTTTGAATTCAGGTCTTCCTGAATCCAAGTCCTACCTTCTTAACTACTGAGCTGCCTCATGTACACATAGCTAATTATGTATACATAGTTAAAAGACAGTTATTCTCTTGGGAAAGAAGGGGTAGCTAGAACTACCTTCCTCTGGCACCACTCATCAGAAAGCTTCTGTTCAATCCCTGATCATCAGACCTACTTCCATTGCTCCTTCCCCACCCCTACCTCTAAGTCTTTTCTTACTGTCTTCAATTGCAGGACTCTAGTCAAACATCCCTTTTTCCTCTCCCTTGGAAATCTTCTCTGATATCCCCTACCCAACTTTGTTCTCCATTCATCTCCTCCCATATTCCCAGCTTCAATGTTTAGTAGAGAGTTTATCTCTTGTTTATCAGACTGGGAGCTCTGTCTGTGAGGGTAGGGACTGTTCCTCTTATTCTTTTATTTTTTTAAAAATTTATTTATTTTTAGTTTTCAACATTCACTTCCATAAGATTTTGAGTTTTAAATTTTCTTCCCCTCCTTTCCCTCTCCCCTCCCCAAGACAGCATACAATCTGATATAGGCTTTACATATACATTCATATTGAACATATTTTCATGTTAGTCATGTTTATGAAAGAAGAATCAGAACAAAAGGGGAAAATCATGAGAAAGAAAAAACAAAAAATCCCCCCCAAAGTAAAAACAGTATGCTTCAATCTGCATTCAGACTCCATAGTTCTTTCTCTGGATGTGGATAGCATTTTGCATCACTAGTCTTTTGGAATTGTCTTGGATCATTGGACTGCTGAGAAGAGCTAAATCTATCATATTTAATCATCACCCAATATTGCTGTTGCTATGTACAATGTTCTTCTGGTTCTGCTCACTTCATTCAGCATCAGTTCATATTTTATTTTTTGAGGCAAATGGAGTTAAGTGACTTGCCCAGGGTCACACAGCTTATAAGTGTCAAGTGCCTGAGGCAGGATTTGAACTCAGGTCCTCCTGACTCCAGGGCCAGTGCTCTATCCATTGTGCCACCTAGCTGCCCCAGCATCAGTTCATATGTCCTTACAGGTTTTTATGAAGTCCATCTGCTCATCATTTCTTATAGCACAGTAGTATTCCATTACATTCATATACCACAACTTATTCAGCCATTCCTCAATTGATGGACATCCCCTCAATTTCCACTTCTTGGCCACCACAAAAAGACCTGCTATAAATATTTTCATACATCTGGGTCGTTTTCCCTTTTTTATGGTCTTTTGGGGATACAGACCTAGAAGTGGCATTGCTGGGTCAAAGGTATGTGCAGTTTTCTAGTCCTTTGGGCATAGTTCCAAATTGTTCTCCAGAATGGTTGAATCAGCTCACAACTATATCAACAATGCATTAGTGTTCCAATTTTCCCATGTCTTCTCTAGCATTTGTCATTTTCCTGTTCTGTCATGTTAGCCAATCTGATAGGTATGATGTGGTACCTCAGAGTTGTTTTGATTTGCATTTCTTTCATCATTTAATGATTTAAAGCATTTTTTCATATGACTATATTTATTTATTTGTATATTTTTTTATTTTTTAGGCAATTGTGGTTCAGTGACTTGCCCAGAGTCACACAGCTAGTAAGTGTGAAGTGTTTGGTCTGAGACTGGATTTGAACTCAGGTCCTTCTGACTTCAGGGCTGGTGCTCTATTCACTGGGCCACCTAGCTGCCCATTTCATATGACTATAGATAGCTTTAATTTCTTCATCTGAAAATTGCCTATTCATATCTTTTGACCATTTGTCAATTGGGAAATGACTTGTATTCTTATAAATTTGACTCAGTTCTCTATATATTTTAGAAATGAGTTCTTTATCAGAAGCACTGGTTGTAAAAATTGTTTCCCAGCTTTGTACTTCCCTTCTAATCTTAGTTGCATTGGCTTTGTTTGTGCAAAAACTTTTCAACTTGATGTAATCAAAATCATCCATTTTGCATTTTGTAGTGTTCTCTGTCTCTTGTTTGGTGATAAATTCTTCCATTCTACATAAATCTGACAGATAAACTATTCCTTGTCTCTGAGTTTGCTTATAGTATCAGTCTTTATACCTAAATTGTGTACTCATTTGGACTATGTCTTAGTATACGGTGTAAGATATTTGTCTATGCCTGGTTTCTGCCATACTGTTTTCCAGTTTTCTGAGCAATTTTTGTTAAATAATGAATTCTTACCCCAGAAGCTGGAGTCTTTGAGTTTATCAAATAGTAGATTACTCTAGTCATTGACTGTTGTGTCTTGTGTACCTCATATATTCCACTGATCCACCACTCTACTTCTTAAACAGTACCAAGTAATTTTGATGATTGCTGCTTTATAATGCAATTTAAGATCTGGTATGACTAGGCCACCTTCCCTTGCATTTCTTTACATCAATCCTCTTGATATTTTGGACCTTTTGTTCTTCCAGATGAATTTTGTTATTATTTTTTGTAGCTCTATAAAATAATTTTTGATAGCTTGATTGGTATGGCACTGAATAAATAAATTAATTTAGGTAGAATTGTCATTTTTTATATTAGCTCAGCCTACCCATGAGCAACTGATATTTTCCCAATTATTTAGATCTGACTTTATTTGTGAAAAGTGTTTTGTAATCGTGTTCATAGAGTTCCTGGGTTTTTTTGGCAGGTAGACTCCCAAATATTTAATAATGTCTACAATAACTTCAAATGGAATTTTTCTTCCTATCTCTTGCTGTTGGGCTTTGTTGGTAATGTATAGAAATGTTGATGATTTATGTGGGTTTATTTTATAGCCTGCAACTTTGCTAAAGTTGTTTATTATTTCAAGTAGTTTTTTACTTGATTCTCTAGGATTCTCTAAGTATATCATCATGTCATCTGCAAAGAGTGATAGCTTTGTTTCTTCTTTGCCTATTCTAATTCCTTCAATTTCTTTTTCTTCTCTTATTGCTAAAGCTAAGGTTTCCAGTACAATATTGAATAACAGTGGTGATAATGGACATCCTTGTTTCACCCTGATCTTATTGGAAATGCTTCTAGCCTGTCCCCATTACATATAATGCTTGCTGAAGGTTTTAGATAGATGCTATTTATTATTTTAAGGAAGACTCCATTTATACCTATGCTTTCTAGTGTTTTTAATAGGAATGGGTGTTGTATTTTATCAAAAGCTTTTTCTGCATCTATTGAGATGATCATGTGGTTTCTGTTGGTTTTGGTGTTGATATGCTCAATGATGCTGATAGTTTTCCTAATATTGAACCAACCCTGCATTCCTGGTATAAATCCTACCTGGTCATAGTGTATTATTCTTGTGATAAGTTGCTGTAATCTATTTGCTAGTATTTTGTTTAAAATTTTTGCATCTATATTCATTAGAGAAATTGGTCTATAATTTTCTTTCTCTATTTTGACTCTTCCTGGTTTAGGTATCAACACCATATTTGTATCATAAAAAGAATTTGGTAAGACTCCTTCTTCACCTATTTTCCCAAATAGTCTATATAGTATTGGAATTAATTGATCTTTAAATGTTTGATAGAATTCATGTAAATCCATCTGGCCCTGGAGATTTTTTTCTAGGGAGTTCATCAATGGCTTGTTCAATTTCTTTTTCTGAGATGGGGTTATTTAAGTATTTTACTTCCTCTTCTGTTAATCTGGGCAATTTATATTTTTGTAAATATGTATCCATTTCACTAAGATTGTCAAATTTGTTGGCATATAGTTGGGCAAAATAATTCCTAATTATTGTTTTAATTTCCTCTTCCTTGGTGGTAGCTTCACCCTTTTCATTCTTGATACTAGTAATTTGGTTTTCTTCTTTCTTTTTTTTAATTAAATTAACCAAAGGTTTATCTATTTTATTGGTTTTTTCATAAAAAGCTCTTAGTTTTTTTAATTCAATAGTTTTCTTAATTTCAATTTTATTAATCTCTCCTTTGGTTTTCAGAATTTCTAATTTGGTGTTTAATTGAAGATTTTTGATTTGTTCTTTTTCTAATTTTTTTAGTTGTATGCCCAATTCATTGATCTCCTCTTTTTCTATTTTATTTATGTAAGCATTTAGAGATATAAAACTTCCCCTAAGAACTGCTTTCACTGCATTCATAAGTTTTGGTATGTTGTCTCATTATTGTCATTGTTTTGGATTAAGTTATTGATTGTTTCTATGATTTGTTATCTGACCAACTCATTCTTTAGGATTAGATTATTTAATTTCCAATTAGCTTTTAGTCTATCTTTCCATGGCCCTTTGTTACATGTAATTCTTCTTATTCTTTTTGTCTCAACAACCCATCACACACAGACACACCCTGCCACGGACCATGATTGACACAGTGTTCTGTCCATACAGGTATCATATCCATCAGTGGTGGTGAATAAAAATTGCCCTTGAACAGAACCTGAATATAGTTTGCCTAAATTCCCACACAAAATTCAAGTTCCAAACGGATACTCTATCCTTTTGTTATTTCTGTTCAGTCGTGATCCTATCTGGGGTTTCCTTGGCAATGATACTGTAGTGGCTTTCCATTTCCTTCTCCAAATCATTTTATGGATGAGGAAACTGAGGCCAACAGGGTTAGGTGACTTTCCCAGGGTCACATCTCTAGTAAATGTCTGAGTTCAGATTTGAATTCATGAAGATGAGCTCTTCTGATTCCAAGCCCAGTTCTCTGTCCACTGCACCAACTCTTTCCCTCACCCTCAAATGTTTCCTATTTTTCCCCCTCAGTTCCATCTTCCTAGCCTCTCAGATTGAACCGAATTCCCCTCACCAATGGCATATGACAAAAGAAGGATCACTCACAAAGCCAGGAAAAGAGGAGTAGAAGTGCCACCAGGAGTTGTATTCTATGGTGACCTCAAGAGAGATCTTGCCCTAGGATCCACTTGAGACAGAGACCCTAGAAAATCCTCCTAGGACACAGCCAGAGAGCTTTTTAGAGATTTTTTCATGCACATTCAGCATTACCTCCTTTGGAAGTGTTCAAATTCTGCCTTTCTTCTGATTTCCACTGCCTCAAGTTCACTCCTGCTGTAGGACTCCCGAAAGATGTAGTTCCCTGATTTCTTTTCACATTCACACTGACTTTGGGGAAACAACCTGCAGAAAGAAGGCAGACTGTAAGCATGGCCCATGTGGGTGAACTGGAATGGGGGACCCTTAGACTCACTCCAGTAAAACAGCACCCCATTACTTTTCCCTTTTGTTCCTGAAGATGGCCTAGTTAGATTAAAAGACTAGGAACTGAGTGATTATCTCCATGGAGATACAAAGAGATGTCAAGGCTAGAGATGTGGGAGGAGCTATGGGACTAGACTTATTGCTTATTTATCATGTGATGCCACTCTCCCTGAGCCAAGTCTGCACAGTTGGAATTCACCCCAAAGTCATTGCACAGCGAGGAAAAGAAAGGAAGAGGAAGGCAGAGAAACTACAGATATGGTTCTTCACATATGCAGAGAAATTCCAAGAGTGTGACGTGGCAGTCAAAAAAGCTAATGCAACCTTGGGCTGCATTAAGGACATAGCTCCCCCAAATTAGAGTTGTCTCAAATGGAATGGGCTCTTCCAGAGGTTGTGGCTTTTCCTTCCTTGGAGGTCTTCAAGCAGAAGGCTGGATGATCACTTGTAGGCTATGTTAAGTAGGGATTCCTTTTGTTCGTGGGGATGAATTAGATGGCTCTGAGGTCCTTGCAAGCCCTCAAATTTTCTGATTCTGTGGCTGAATCAGTACTCAAAGCTTTCTGTACTCTAAGTTTCTAAACTCAAATTTCTATAACTTGACACGGCCAACCCTTCAGGAAGCTTGACAGGTGGGGAGAGTCCTTTGTCTGGTTCTTTCTTGATTTCTCTTAAATTCATATTTAGATGGTCTTTATATGTCTTTACAACATCAAAGACCAATTATTTGATGCAGTTCTTGTCATTGCAAAAGCAGTTTCTCTATAGAGTCTATTTTGTTGGTGGTATATAGGAACATACACACACATATATGTAATTTTATATAGCAAGTCTATCTTGCTACTTTGCTAAAGTTGTATATATTAGTGCAATTAGATTTTTGTTGAGCGATTTGAATTTTCTAAGGATACAATCATGCCATACACAAATAAGGAGATATTTTAGCTTCTTTAATGTCCATGTTTATGCTATTAAATTTTTTTTTATGCTGGCTAGTAAAACATAGTTTAAAGCCAGGATATTTACTTTCATTATTTCTATTCGATGGTTTTTGAAAAGTTAGTGATAAATATATTTTTTAAAAATAACATGTTTGTTTTTGAATAATTTTTTTACCATTTTAGAACAGATCCTCCCATTCCCATATTTTTAGCCTTTTTAAACTTAATATAAATGACTGCTCTATTTTTATCAGACTTTCTCTGCATCTCTTTGTATAATCATGCCATCATTATTTTTTCTCTTATTGCTAAGATTTATAATGTTTATTTCCTGCTATTAAAATATCTTTGCATTCAAATTACAAAATCTATTTGGTCTTAACAAATTGTTTTTCTTTATTACTTAATCAGTTTACTAGTATTTTATTTGTTATTTTCACTGCTATTTATGATTGTAATGGCCTTTAGTTTTCTTTCTCAGTCTAACATTTGTCTAGTTTAGCAATCAAAATCCTATTTTCCTCATAAAAGGATGTGCTCAGAAAGACCCTATTTGAGAGAAGAGTTACTTGTTCTTTAGAAGTTTTGGATAATTAACTTGAGATTCCATCTAAACCCAGTTCCTTTTTCAGCTATGATTTTTTTTCATAAGCTTTGTGATTTCTCTTTCCATCAGGTCTTGATGGTCCTATTTAGTTTATCTACTTCTTTGACTTGTCAGTTATGATATTTTGTAGTTTTAAAAAGTCAACCATTTCTTTTAGGTTTTTAAATTATAACTATATGTGATTGTCCTTAGAATATAATAGTTAATAGTAATAATTAACATTTATGTAACACTTACTATGTGCCAAGCACTTCACAATTGTCTCATTTGATCCACACAACAACCCTGGGAGGTGAATATTACTATTATTCCCCTTTTACAGCTGAAGAAACTGAGATAAGGAAAGTGACTTGCCCAGGGTCACATAGCTAGTAAGCGTCTGAGGTTGAATTAGAACTCAGGTCTTCCTGATTCCTGGTCCAGTACTCTTATCAACTGAACCAGCCAATTGCCTTTCCTGGTGAATTACACATGGCATGTGCAGATATTCCTTGTCCTTCTTCTGATGGATCAAGGAGCCTCGGTGAGATACTTTTGTCCATGAGTGATTTTGGGGCCATTGCTGTGTTGACTTTTGCTAGCTAAGGACTTAGGAATCAGTGACTTAGGAGACACTAAAACTGAAACAGTTCAAATACAAAAAGATTAACTTGCTTCTACCTCTACCTCTTTTTCTTTCTTTTCCTTCCTGGAGGTGTGTGAGGCAAGAGCTCCTATGAGCTACTGTAAAGGAAAGGGGAAGCAACTGCCCTATCTCCCACATAGCCACCATATGTCTATGAACACAAGCCTCTTCTCCACCTTTTGTGCTCATTCTTTCCTGACCTTAGGTGAATGAGTATCCCTAGAGGAGTTCCCAGGTGACTAGTGAGACTGGACAGTACATCAAAGCTAAGAGGGGTCCCACTAGCTACAAAAGCCCTGGTAACAGCAGCCAAGGTCAATAAGTAGACCCAGCCACAGCCCAGCCACATGATTAACTAACCCAGCAGTGGACTGACCCATCAGCTGAGACCTGCAAAGGGACAAAGAACGTAGATTACAGTCATCCTGACTGTGGCAGAAATAAAAACATCCAAGATGATGCACTAAGGTCCCCTACTATCCAGAATGGTTAAGCCTTTTACCTTGTTTCTTGACACTAATTATGGTTGCTTACACCTCAACCCAAAGCACCTGGTTAAAGCACTTTGTAGTCAATTATTAATTTTTAAAAGCTAAGACATTTTACAACCAATTTGGCCCAGCCGCTAATACACTCTATCAATTTTCTTAACCCCTATAATTGTTCTACTTATGTTTTCTTACTTATCTTGCCTTGCCTGGTCTTGTCATAGGACTTTGTCCCCTCCCTTTTATCTATCACTTCAACCTCAACTTCCTAGTCCAGCTTTATCCTCTTTAATTCTTTTATATACTCATTAATTCTCCTTGCTCTTGCTTCTCTTACAGCCTGAGAGTAGAAACTGAACCAGGATCTGGGCCTGGAGATTGTTTTTCTTCAACTTTTCTTCATTTTTTCCCCCAATTTTATCAAGATTTTTGTCTCCTCGAATTCAACTTCTGCCCTACTCTTCTAGTTCAAACCCATTCAAGGTACTGAAATGATTTCTTTCTTCTTACTCAGCTCAAATCCTCTCCTCATCTCCTATTCCTTCCACCACAACCTTCTCCCATAGAAGCCAGAATGATAATCCTAGAAGAGATGAATATCAGAATTACTTAGCAGGAAACTACACCCAGCAGAGATTAAACACAGAGGAGACAATTAAATGCCACAAGACCAACAGTGTAACACCCACTTGAGACTATAGACTCATTAGTTACCAAGGGTCACCTAGCTACTCATAGAATAATGCACTCAGAAGCTGAGCCACATCCAGGCAGAGTCAGGCTCAGTGAGGGCTGCATGATGACATCACCAGAAGACGACGGTTATCCTACAGCACAAGAGACATGAATCTCTCCTGAATTTGCCCTGAGTATACACATTTCTGGCCAGCTAGGTGGCACAGCAAATAGAACACCAAACCTGGAGTCAGGAAGACTCATCTTCATGAGTTCAAATCTGGCTTCAGATACTTCCTAGCTAGGGGGCAGCTAGGTGGCACAGTGGATAGAGCACCAGCCTTGGATTCAGGAGGACCTGAGTTCAAATCCGGCCTCAGACACATAATACTTACTAGCTGTGTCACCCTGGGCAAGTCACTTAACCCCATTGCCTAGCAAAAACAAACAAAAAACAAAACTACAGATACTTCCTAGCTGTGTGACATTGGGCAAGTCACTTAACCCTGTTTGGCTCGGTTCCTCATCTGTCAAATGAGCTAGAGAAGAAAATGGCAAACCACTCCAGCATCTTTGCCAAGAAAATTCCAAAAGGGATCATGAAGAGTCAGAAATGAATAAAAATGACTGACCAACAACATATATTTCCTACTTGTGCACCCTTGTACATCTGTGCTTTGGCCAGGTGCTCCCATGAGCATTCCATCCCTGGAATTCTCTGCATCTTCACCTCCTCCTGGCTCTCCTGGTGTCCTCAAATCAAACCCAACCTGCTTCAGGAGGCCTTTCACATTCTCTTCCAATTCTAGTACCTTCACTCTGAGAAAACCTTTCATTTAAACTGTTTATATCTTATGCATACATAGTCATTTGTATGTTGTTTCCCCCATTAGAATGTGAGCTTAAGAGTCTGGCCAATATGGCTGATCTTTAATAAACCTTGTCTTTGGCTAAAAGAAGGCTTGAGTCAAATTCTTTCAGGCAGGACCCACGTGTTGTGATTTTGGGGTCCCAGCACCCCTAACATCTAAAATCCAACATTTTTGGTTCCCTGAGACCGGGAAAAACTCCCAATCCCAAATTCTTCTCCAGCCAAGACTAGAAGATCTCAATCAGGTTAAAGAAAAGCTGGGTCGATACTCTGAAGATCCCACTAAGTTTACTGAGGGCTTTAGGGACATGTTCTTACAATTCAAGCTTCTTTGGGGGTGATTTGCACATCCTCTTCTCCACTTGTTGTATTGTTGAGGAGAAGAGAATCTGGGAACAAGCCCAAAAATTTGGGGATCATCTTGCTACCAATGACCCCACAAAATACCCCCCAGGAACAGCTGCTGTTCCCACTAGTGACCTGGGATTGGATTATCAGAAGAGTGAGGATAGGGAAAAGAGAGACCACATGGTAATTTGCCTGTTAGAAGGGCTGAAAATGGCATTTTGAAAGCAAATAAATTTTCAAAAAATTGAGCAAATTACTCAGGGGGAAAAGGAAAACTCTGCCCTTTTCTAAGACTGGCTAGCAGAAGCTATCAAGAAGTATATGAATTTAGATCCTGACTCTATAGAAGGGGCAGCAATCCTTA